TGGAGCAATCTGTAGAGCTGGAAGCTGAGAACTGGCGACTTTGTAGTACAACTTTAGTACGCGGAGTATCTGGCGAGCTGGACGATGAGAACTGGCGACTTTGTAGTACAACTTTAGTACGCGGAGTATCTGTGGAGCTGGAAGCTGAGAACTGGCGACTTTCTAGTACAACTTTAGTACGCGGAGCAATCTGTAGAGCTGGAAGCTGAGAACTGGCGACTTTCTAGTACAACTTTAGTACGCGGAGCAATCTGTAGAGCTGGAAGCTGAGAACGGGCGACTGTGTAGTACAACTTTAGTGCGCGGAGCAATCTGTAGAGCTGGAAGCTGAGAACTGGCGACTTTGTAGTACAATTTAGTACGCGGAGCAATCTGTAGAGCTGGAAGCTGAGAACTGGCGACTTTCAAGTACAACTTTAGTACGCGGAGCAATCTGTAGAGCTGGAAGCTGAGAACTGGCGACTTTGTAGTACAACTTTAGTACGCGGAGCAATCTGTGCAGCTAGAAGCTGAGAACTGGCGACTGTGTAGTACAACTGCAGTACGCGGAGCATCTGGGGAGCTGGAAGATGAGAACTGACTGGCGACTTTCTAGTACAACTTTAGCACGCGGAACAACCTGTGGAGCTGGAAGCTGAGAACCGGCCACTTTGTAGTACAAGTGTAGTACACGGAGGAGTCATCTCTCGCGGCGTGCAGGTTTGGCACAGTTCATACTGATAGTATTTGGTTGCATTTATGCAGGACAGGACATTCAACTGCTGGTCAATACACCACTCATCATACACCACTCAGCATACACCACTCATCATACACCACTCGTCATACACCCCTCTTGTCGTGGCAAAGATACAACCCAGTACGCTGTTGTGAGCTGCTGATCCTGCAGGGAGCACACACCTTACACACGTGGAATCCCGTGGGTCAAAAGTCCAGAGCGCGTGCGTTTGACTGGAGGACGCGCATGTTGGAGAGAACGTGGACACTCCTATAGGTCAATTTGTTCTTATAGGAAACTTCCGCCGCCGGCTTGCCCGGGAACTACTTGTATCAACGGCAAAGGGGTCGCAAACAAATAGAGCGGCATGAAAGGAGCTGTCCCAGTCAACGCCTTACTGTTTATTGAAAAGGCATGGTGTTTAAATGGTACTTGACCCAGCGTTATGGAATTTGGGGTTTCTTTCCTGATGACTGACAGTGAGCCAAGCAAGCTGCTTGGGAGATGATGGGGAGAAAAGATATTTTCCTTTCTGCCCTCACAATACCTGCCACTGACTATACAGTCATGCTGTGTTTCCGCAGGTGCCATACAGGCGAAAAGTCACACAAGACTGCGAGTCAGAAGGTTCAGGCCTAACATGGCGGCAACATGCTCTCCCTCACGCAGTGAAACCAAACCACAGTGCCGTGTTGGCAAACGCTCTTGTGTCAATGGCAGACATTGCTTGGATTTGGCTATTCCATGATTTGGGGAGGAGATATCAGAAGAGAGGTGATTTTGCGAGCACAAAGCCAATTCAGGAAGACATAGTTTGTTTGGTGCGGGCAAGCTGCAATTGTATTGGATTGTCGCAGCATGCCCAAACAGTTCTTTGATTGGACAACAACTTTCCTGCCCACCTGCGCTTTTGTGCGGTTGAAGAGCTCATTAGAGCGGACTCTTTGCATGTTTTCTCAAAATAGTGCAAGTAAAAACAAGGCTACTGGAACCTGATCGGTTATCCATCATATTCCCCTGCTCGTCACCAGCAACTATTTGTGTGCATGTATTTGGCAGGTGAATTGGAATTGAAGGTGGGCGAGATTATCACTGTCCAGGAGGAGTGTGCCCTTCACACAAAAGAGGTGCTGTGTGCATTTCGTCGTTTGAGCATCCTCAGTGTGTGTTTCGGTGCAGCTTTGCAAACCGATTGGTCAGTGTTTCAGTGAGCTGAGTGGACGCTCCATAGGACAGTCGGTCAGAGAGTGCAATGGAAGTCGTCCCTCCCCAGGATCCAGACGCCCCAGAGGGTGACCTGGATCGATGGGTTTGTGATCCCAGGAATCGAAGACACTTCTTTGTTTCTTTAGACTTTTAGAGCGGCTTTGATTGCTTTGTCGACCTGACTTTCTGTACTTCTTTCTAATAGGCCTCAGAGGCAAGAAGAGGAAAGCTGTAGGCGGCTGTAGGCTAGGTTCGTTTGAAACTGGTATTTAGTTCGCTTCAGGGCTTGGGACGAAGGGTACTGAGGGAAGCTCCTCCGCTTGAAGGAAAACGTGAGTATTTATCCTAGGTTTTTTCTCAAGACCACAAGGCATCAGATTGCAGTGAAGGAGCCTGGGTCACATGTAGCCGAAGTAACATCAAGCAACCAAACTTTGCAGATGTCTATTCAATACAGTTTAGGCGGATCGCACATATCACCTGGTTAGTTTTGTGACGCTACAAACATTTTCCATCGCTGAGGTGTTTGGCAAAAAAGAGAAAACTGGAGAGACTGGATGGTGCGACGTTGGATGACTTTGGGATTTCTTACTTTGGCTTTTGTTGACGCATAGGCAGTGTCCATCCATTCACTGCTCGTTGGGCCTTGGGTTCTCGCGAAACATGCTTGACGTGTAAGGACCATCAAACTCACCAGAATGCAAACACAAAGGATACACATATTATATTATATTAGGATATATATATATACACATATACTCACTGTCACTGTTTCAGCCATGCTCCTTATAACTGTGTGAACAAGTGCAATCATTGCTGGAGCGCAGCTTGTGCCAAGCATTTTCGTTGCAGGTTTGCGCTCGGCTACACCCGCGACACCGAGGAGTAGAAGTCCTTCAGACTAAGCAAGGTGCCTGAAGAATTCTCTCAACCATTTGTCACAAGAAAGGCAAATCTTATCCTGGGATAGGTTGAGAACCTAACGTCAAACTGCAAGCTCCTTGCTTGTGTTCAAGTTTCTATCTTTGAACGTACTGCACTTCGGGTTCTTTTTACCAGACCCCAGATGGAAGGAGATTTGCCTTGCCCTACAATGCTTGTCCTCAATATTGATCGTGATTGCCGATTGCCTTTGCCTTACAGCCTCAAGCACTCTGTTCAATTTGTTGGATTGATATGAGTGTAAGGTCACATACAGTGTAGCAGCTTGCAATTCAAAGGAAAACTCTAAATGCACAATGCGATTTTAACCCCCCAATCAACATCCCATGCCGTTTATGTTCTTTGAATAAAAAGCAATTGTGAATTGTATAACTTTATTTGCTGGATTAATTAGGATCTCTTGCCACAGAAACCACGGTAGGAAAAGATAGGAAAAGAATGTGGCCTTCCCCGCCAACACCTCCTGGGTGCCTTCATCAGTGCGTTTCACCAGTTCAACACATCTTTAATGTACAGGAAGTTTAACAGACTGGAGTAAAGTGTCTAGCATGTATTAAGCATTGATATACATCCTGAGCCATAGCGCCTGGGCCATGTTGCGGTGCACTGGAAAAGGCAGGGATGGCAAATCACCGTGTTTGTTTCACAGTCAGCAGTGTTTTGGCTTGTGCAACGATTTTTCCCCAGCAGTGAGAATCAATGTGTCAGCCTTTTTCTTGGGCATAGCCAACAATGGAACCATGGAATTTACCTGATACCGCCCTGTGTCTACGTGTCACAGAATCGGTCAGGGGCACTGCCTCTTCGTTTGCCTTTGAAATGGTTTGGTGGCGCAAAGGCGATGCTGTGGCAATTCTGCAAGCAATTTGAACACGATATTACATTTTCAGAAACAGGGGACCGTGGTAGTTCACTTTTTTCTCATGTTTCCATTTTTTTGCAACTGCACTCAACTACAACCCTTACAATATCTGAACGTCTGCACCGCACTGCAGTCATGAACCACACAATCATCATATCTGGACCTCTGCACTGCACTGCTGTAACCAACAATTCCAAAAATTCCAACCCACTGGATGTTGATGCAGCTAAGACCATTTTTGAAATTTTGGTAGTTTTATGAATTTTTGAATTGTTGTTTTTGACACAGTGTCCAAATCAAAAATTACAAAATAAATCCAACCCCCATGGATGTTGGTGCAGCTAAGACTATTGGGTCAATAGTTTTGGAATTGTTGTTGTTTTTAGATGTTTTGAATTGTTGTTTTTGACACGGTTTCCAAATCCAAAAATTACAAACAATCCAACCCAATGGATGTTGGTGCATCTAAGACTATTGGGTCAATAGTTTTGGAATTTTTGAGTTGTGAGACATCGTCTTTCTGACTCGACTCATAGCCTTGTTTTCGGCTACGGCGCCGTTAGTGGCTGTGAGTATTTTACTACTTTTTGCTCGTTTTTGTCAACTTCCGGTTGCCAGGTTGCGTTTAGGGGTGGCTTGCGGTGTTCCAGTGAGGTTCTTTGTTGAAATCTGTTGTAACTCTTGTGATCAGTGACCAATGATGCTTTCGCCGCTCCATAACTTTGTGACTTCTGACCGAATTGAGCATGGTTCCATCTCTACATTTTGCCAGCCAACAACTAAAGTCTATGGCTGAACTTGATCGAGAGCTGTGCAAAATACCCACAGCCGCTAACGGCGCCGTAGCCTTGTTTTCCTGCATAGTTTGTCTAGCCACTACCTCTCTGAGATGTGTCTCTTGACACTAGCAACAAATTTGACAGCGCAAGGGTTACTGTAACAATGAAACAGTGGTTTCAATACTTTCAAATGATATTGTGAAGTTGTTTGTGATAGATGAATCAAAACCATGGACATACTATAGACAGTAGAGCATCAAAATATCATTTGTAATTTTTTTGTCATATAGGTCCTTTGATAGACTATTGTAAAATACAACAACAAGTATTATATAATACCAATGCAAGAAGATATGGTAGATGAATTTGTATCATAGCAATAATGTACTGAGGTAGAAACATATGAGAAACAAGAGAATAGTGTACTACCACAGTCCCCAGCTCTCTAAATGTTTGAGATCACTTTGTTGCAAAGGGCACGGTGGTGCTGCGAGTTCAAGCCCATGGGCAAACGCCTTGCAGGTCCGCCACTGCAGTTACTGGATTGGGGTGCAGGACCGATGTATGTATTCGCACACGTTCCACTTCGGCGCTTGGTCAGAATTCGGGCGGGGTCAGATGTGGTCCGGTCCTCGGGTCAGACCAATGATTTCTTGCTCCTAGTAGCTTATTGTTTCTAGTAGCTTCTTGTTACTACTAGTAAGGCACTTGTTACTAGAAGCGATGCACTTGTTCCTAGTAGCTTATTGTTATCGTGACAATAGATTCGGGATGATTCGGGATGAGTATATAACGACAACAGGTTTCTTCCAACTGTTTCCCGTTGGTCACTAACCCTTCTACGAATACAATATGCCCAGAATACCACGTTCCTGCAGGACAAGTGGAGTATACCGTAATATACCCCTGTCCCCGAGAGTTCGATTTGCCCCGCCAACTCACAGACCAAACAGTCCATTGTGACAGTGTCTTTCGACTGAATAGGATTCTAGGATGCCAGGGTAAGTTGTGTTCCAGGGCCATCCATGCTTGGTTTGCAGCAGAGAGGTGTCAATGGTGTCCTTTTGAAGTCAACACTATCACAGTGTGTATTGAGAAATATAGTCGGATGCCTTCGCGCATGAACGCTGTTGATGTTGCTTTAAGGTGGATCACAACCGTTCACTACCGGCTGCACAGCAGTTGTCGAGGTAAAGATTTTTGGCAGGTCCAGAACCCAGGATGAAGGTACAGCTGACTTGATATCACGTTTGCTGAAACTGTGGATATTGGTTACCACAGACGGCCTTCTCCAAAGATGTGCAAGAATTTATCCAGCACTGAGTTGGGCAATGCATTTTGGTACAGTGCGGATTGACTATAGGGTGTTTCAACATGCTGCTGTGAACAGGTGATCGGTCAATACCTAGGCTGCTTCCGCAACCACTAGCACATTGCCTTGCTTTGATGATGGGACCCCTTACTATTTTGCCCCAACAGCTTTCGAAAGAGAGCTACAAGAGATCCGGGTAAGCCAACAGTCATAGCTCTTCAGGGTTGCTGGGGCGTTGATTGAAATTTTCATGGGGTCAGCGGGCACGTTGATTGATTCTTTGACAGATCGGCTGGCAGTACAGCTGTGTTGAGTCTAAGTCTAGTTTAGTTTAGGTATTGTGGACGAGGAAGTGATCATCTCGACAGGTCGTTGGGAGAAGATGATGTGCTCCTGGACATTTGCATGGCACAACACTTGTTGCGGCAAATCATGACAAAGTATGACCACAAGAATCTAGATGTGCTTGAAGCCTGGCTGCTGCATAGCTTGTGTCGCTTGTTGCCTTGCAAGGTTGTGCTGATTGTTTTGTTTGCTTGTGCTTTTGCGGGCGTTGTTCAGAATCACAATGTGTCACAATATTATATGTGTTTATCTATCTATCTATCTATCTATCTATCTGTCTCTCTATCTATCTATCTATCTATCTATCTATGTATCTATCTATCTATCTATCTATCTATCTATCTATCTATCTATCTAT